TAACCGTGACATTAATCAGTCTCGAAAAATAAAAATACATTACTGTTACTGGTTTTCACACTGTAATCAAACTAATTCGGAAAATCATCGATGCAGTGTAATTCTCTTTATTTAAAGAATAGACCTAAAGTCTATGTCTAAAGCGGGAGGGTCGTCATCTGCGCACGCGCGAGAATTGAGTCCCAAGCGACGATAACAACACATGTTAAAACGCAAAGGCTCATGGGTAGAGTTTGTTTGTAAACATTGACACGCTATGGGCATCTGACGCATGCGTAGGTGACGCCTCTCCGCTTTCAACAAATATGTGTACGATATGACATGCCTGTGTTTCAATCCAATTTATTGAATATAACAACAAAATAATACATGTAGTAGTTTGTAGTACATTTAGCCTGACGGTCCGAGGCCATTAAATTACATTCCACATGTTTCCGGTACCCGCCGCACTTGAGTTTGGGTCAAATGAGCCCTATATTATTAATTATTTTTTGATGTTATTCACTTCTTTGATTAGTGTTGTATAAAAAAATACATTATAAAAAAAAAAGTATAGTCTACCGGGAAAGTGAAATGACATTCTAAAATCGAATTAAAAAACCTACTCTCGTTCCCAACATTATGTTAGCCTGTTGCTGGGAACATTGAATTTATTTAATTTTGCTCTAAATGGCATAGCCTTACCTTTACCCATGCTGGTCAACTTATAATTGTCCAAGCTTTGATGAAATATTTGCTGACGCATAAATGTTAATATCGTTGTGTAATACCACATGTTGATGAATACTAGTACTTTGGTATTCGTTCCAAGAAAGAACAACATTATCAACGCGCACTGACTGATTTTACATTGTAGACTTTGAAGAGTTTAGACGGTATTAAATTGAAAATGCGAAATTGAAAAATTAATATTGAAAAAAAATAAGTAAAATATGTGTCTTGGCATTAGGTTGATACACTGTAGAAGTATCTAACCCCCAGTTTACTCTAATGCTGATGGAAAGACCTATTAAATTAAATTTGAGTTTAATGTGACAGTCATTGAATTTAAGTTATTGTAACTAGATACAGTTTTTTAAAAACAAATAATGCATGTGCATTCCTATATAGGATTGTATTTAATTGAGTTTTACATTGTATTCTTTGATATGATTGCGATGTAATTGAGCATAATTAAGTTGCAATTAAGTTGCATTCCTATTGCAATTGTAATTTAATTCAAGTTGATTTACCCAAGGATTCCGGTTTCGGTTCCGTGTTTCACAGACAAACAATAGTTCTCGTACAGGAGCGCTGTCAGCTAGACAGTGAAATCTTAAAACTCGCTTTGCATACTTTTTTAACAATTAATTTTGAATAATTTCTAACAACCAGGTCTCATTTTCGATTGGTCGGAAGCTCTGAGAACTCATTTCTTATTTCTTGATTAAAGTTGTTGACAAAACCACGCGTACATCATAATAGAATAATTAGTTATTTAGGCCGATTGTAATATTATAATTATAAATTGGCAATTAGAGACAACAAACAACAACGTGAAAACAACGGAAGGACGATTCCGTTGCCATTAGGGGAATGCGTGACTCCTTAACACCACATATTTTTATATCTAATCTATGATGTTCTTATCTGTTTAGATATTTGTTTAATTATTAATATACATGTATCACACATATTGTTGTAGTTTGGGTGCAGTTGACCAATGGTGCATCTGTGAAGACAGTGACTGTGAGTGCAATGTCCGACGGCAATAACGTGTATGTTTATCATATACGCAACACCATGAATGCAAGTATCGGTCACCATAGTGGCGACATTTTCTTGCAGGAAGAAGACTGTGAAAATGCGTCGATATTGTTTGATAACTTGACAGACGATGGTCATACTATTCGCATTGTGAACGATTTGACGCAGTATTTGTGGGCACGGATAATGCTAGTCGTTATGTTCACAACTGTTGTGTTTATTGGAAGTATTGGTAACTCTGTTGTCCTGGTAACCAGTTGTCGAAATCGTCGACCAAATTCTGTATACAGTGTTTTTATCGTGAACTTAGCTGTATGTGACATGTACAGACTTCTTTGTGATGGACCTGTGATAAAACTACTTATTATTAACCTAGCCATTGATGGTAATATGGGCGAGGCGGCGGAAACACTGTGCAGTATAACTACATACGCGACTATTACGTGCGGGGTGTGTTCTATATGGACAATGTTTGTAATCAGTATCGAACGCTATATTGCTGTATGCCACCCATTTAAGTACTCGCGACTGTGGACAAAGAAACGCGCCAGGTCCATCGTGTTATTCAATTGGGTGTTATGTCTCGTCTCCTTGTTACCGATCGTTTTGGCGATGGTAAACACAGTCAATGTTGTCACTGTCGCATACGATAAAACATCGGCCCAAGACGGCGATATGCGACAAATTTGTGTATTTGTTGTAACTGCTGACTCCGTAATTAGCAATATATATTATATATATTTATTTTTATTTTTGTTCGGACTTCCTCTCATTTTGATGACCGTTGCTTATGTTCGTGTATTTCGCGAATTGCATCGAAGTATGGACAATTTCTCGCATTCTTCGGCTGCTCAGAGAGAAACTGATAGGCGACACAAGATTGCCAAAATGATGATATGCATTTTAGTGGTGTTTGCCGTTTGCTGGTTACCTTATATGTGTCTGTGTGCATATGCTGCATTTGGTGGCAATATGCAAGTGGACAATATCATTTTCATTTATTTGTTTTTTTCCTGGTTCATTTTCCTATGCAGCGCCATCAATCCTTATATCTACAGTCGGTATTCTCGTGATTTCCGCCAAACTTTGTGTAAAGTTATGTGCTGCTGTAGAACGGAACGACAGGTCAATGCCTGCTGCGCATGCGTATTTGGTTGCAACCAAGGTAACGAGGTCGAAATGGATGCATCCGATATTAACAAGTCCGGAAGAAAAACACGTGCAACCGAGACGATGACATCAAGTACGTTAGACTATGAGAGCTCTGCGACTGCGCAGGACGACAGCGATCAGTCGAATGAAAATATCAGTGTCTTTACACCGATGATTACTCCAAATGTAGATCAGAGGGATAACAATATTGCAGAGACAGGAACGAGTATATAGATTCGCTGGCAGAGTACGTTGAGTGTGGAACATTGAGTGTTGGCCAGACCCCCAGACCGCTCGCAATTTATTAGTCACCATAGTAAAACTATTTTTTCGAAGACATTGCTTCAATTTTGCTTCAAGTTGAACATACACTGATCCATAGCTCTGTTCTGTTTATATCGCATTGTGCATGCAATTATTGTATCATGCAAAATCCTTCCTTCGATAGCCTAAAAGATCAACCCCAATTTGTTAGTAGATACTGTTTGTTTTTATTTCCATCACGAATAACTCAATTGAACACACCACACTAGCAGGTACGAGACTCGTTCAAAACATGGCGAGGAACATAATAAATAACTCTATTCAATGGAGCTGATGAAACATATCACCATTATAATAACATGAAATTGTCTGCAAAGTATTGCACATAAATTACGTAGTCAATTGTTTATATCAGCTGAACTAATGTACATGCGACCTTAAACTAACAATTTAGAAGGTGCGTTTTCATGTTTTTTATCTTGTTTTTTGTATTATTTTATTTTTAATTTGAAAAGTTTTTTTTTTCGAGAGCATTTTGTTTTGCCACGAGTTTCAAAGAAGAAATCCATTATAAGACTGACTTGTGAACGAACGCATTCGTTTAAGAACTTACCTTGTTATATTAATGTGAAATCGGCATACAATAATCACGTTTTAAATCGAATATCAAGAGGAACGTTGAAGAACAAAATTTATTCCATATTCACAGCTTTTCAAAGAATGGATCAGTTTGTTCAACATAGCCTAAAAACTGAATCTTTTTGAAGGGAATGTCATGAAAGTGTATATTTTGTAGAGGAATTGTGGTCATTCGCTCTCTCATACAATAATATCACCAGATAGATCCAGTTGTATCTTGCCAAACATAGTCTCACGGAAACCCCACGCTAACCGAGGCCCACTCCCTGGCCTCAGTCAGAAAGTATTTTCTTTGTTTTAAAATAACACGCTTACAAGCACAATCAGGCATGCAGATGGTCATAATTTGTGCTTCTTGCCAATCACTTAGAGCGAGTTGCTATTTGCGTGCTTGGCCATCTAATATTAATCTCCGAATAAATAACCATGTACCAGTACCAATGTCATCGTAATGACACATAACATGTAAATGTGTTTTCTACTAATGGTTGAATGTTAAATGCAGTTAGCACTGGTTTCAGCTTTAAACATAACACATAATACCCGTATTCCTATCATATAAATAATTATAATAATTATACATACACTGGTATACATGTATTTTCTGAAATCGCAATAAATAAGTTTTGTCGCTAGGGTGTTTTTTTTTTTCATTTCGCTGAATTTACTCACGAATACTTAAATTAGTGTATAGTGTAAAAAATGCCTGTTTAGCTAATATGTAATTTTAGCTAATCCGCAATTCCGCTAATTCAAGATATCGCTAATAAATTATAGTCTCACAATGAGATTATTGACAATTATGTATTTAAGGTTCTGTTAATTCTTTCATCGAATCAAATTCAACAATCTAAGTTCAGTGATTATATTCCAATGATATATCCAGTTAAACTCGAGATTAAACATACAACAAAGTCTGTTTCATATTTAACATGTGGAGCAGGATGTACTCTTATTTCGAAATACCCGACATTACTTCATGTATACCATGGAATATGTACATCTAAATCTTTTGCCTATGCAGTGAAGAGTACGTATTTTTGTTTGTTTGAAATTTCCCTATACGACTTTTGTCGGTTGGGAGTGTTATTTCAACTTTAAATACAGTATGTTTGAACAATTCGATTTATGGTATAATCACACAAATTGAACACCAACGCTGACATTAACGCATTAATATATATACAGGTTTTGTGCATAATCGCATGAGGCATTTGTTGAAATTTTATGGATGAGCAGTAACATTTCCGCCGAGAAAAGAAGTTAAGAGGACCCCCATATATGAAGAAAGGCTACAACAGTTTGTTAAAAAACTGAAAGTTGAAAACTGTTTTAGCACATTTAAATAGTATTGTGTCATGTTGCATCTTTGTACAAATGAAAATGTTAAAACTCGTTATGCACCAGACGATGCAGTATTGTGGATGAAATAGTGAAAATACTACTATTATTTGATCGAATTCTGACCAACCAACGATATTCAGTGTCTGATAGTACCTACTTGTGTTTCCATTTAAGGCCCAATTTCAAACAAAACGCCTTCTTAAATGAAATGGAGATGCAATAATGTTAGTTCATGGCATCCTGGTGCCAACGTGATTGAAAGAAAACAATCTCCGAAAATCGGGACCTCTGATTTCCTCGCGCAAGTCTCAACTGTAACCTTTAAAACACGTGTAATTCATTGCATGTACAAGTATTCGTCTATAGTCGAAATATCGTGCTATTATTTCGTAGTAAATTTGCAGTTATATAGAACTGAGTAAACTGGCAAAGTCGGGACTTCTTTGTTTTGCAGAAAAAAATAATTAATTGTTCTTTTAGCATGATCGCGAAAACTGGCCGCTCAAGAAATCCCGACTGGACGCATCTGCGGGCATTTGACTGCTATTAAATATTCACGATTCATTGATTATTCATGAGTGGGTGTGTGAAAGTCAGCATGACATTTTAAAGGTTGAGTCGATTCAATCGCAGAGATGGATACTTTAACTTTCTAAGTGCAAAGGCGATACTTTCATCCATGTTTACTGAAAACAAGTCGATTTAAATGTCCAATGTATGCAGTAGTCTTTCAAAATCGCCGAGATCTAAGAAGTGAAAGGTCACGTACATTAACATAGATAATAGATGACGTATACAGCTGCATTCCGATTCGTTGTCAATGCTCGTCAGCAACTTTTATTTAGCATAATCACCGGAGTAATTCCGCTCCGGTTTCACTCCAACGCCTGCAGATGTGTCCAGTCGGGATTTCTTTCGCAGTCACGCTAGTTTTCGCGATCACGTCAAAAAAGCTAAATTAACAATTAATTATACTTTTTGTAAGACAGAGAAGTTTCGACATTGCCAGTCTAAGAACCGAGCTATATCCTGGTCATATAACCTAGTCCGTAATCTTGGTATATGTGATCCTAGACATAATCTTAGAAAATGACGTACTTATGAAAGGACTGTTCTCAAACATAACTTTGGTACGGTTGTAAGTGTAAAACTGACTGTGCCGTCTAACACACACATGATCACACTCATGATCACACTCGACGCAAAACCCATGCCCATCATTTTTATAAATTTGCCATTGTTATTTTTGACGTCATTAAATTGTGCTCATTGATTGGCTGGTAGGATGCAAATTTATAAATATTTATCATACAAATGAAGGAAATGGGTTTGTTGTGTCGATAGTATTGAAAGATATATCAATGGAGAGAACGATGTAAATGCAATATTTTAAATAATTTTATTACAAAAACGTACAAAACTGTTTAAAAAGCATTGTTTTGCAACTACATTGAGAACCAATTAAAGTACTGACAGAATTCAAACTAAATTAATTCCTAATTAAAACAGTTGGTTGAACGTATCCAACACTTAATTACGTCATCATATAATTCAACCTTCTGTTTATTATTCAAGGCCATATATCATTTTTATTTAATTGTTAACTGTTTACCATCACATCAAAGCGCTACACCATTTTTTCCACTAAAGTTGCGTTAAAACATAGACCCTATTGTTAACAAAAATCAGCACTGAATTATTATTTTTTTACAAAATACGTACGAAAACCGTATAACAAAAATTGTGTCAAACACAACAATTAAAATAAGAGCAGAGAAACGTACTGAACATCAATTAAACTTATCCAACACGTGATGATAATGTTTTCATATTGTTTAACATTCAGTATTTTCCAGGCGTATACAAATTGTGCTTATACAAGCTGTGCATCAACATATAAAGCGAGTAAAAGTCCTCAGCTTTCTACTAGCTTTAAGAACAGCCATACTTACTATATACGCTCAGTGGGGTTTCTCTAAATCACACAAGAACATTTTCTATATCACAGACAATTTGCTCTAAATTACATAAAAATTACATCTGGGTGTCCGTGAATCCTATGTCGAGGTAAAATGGTCATGAGATATTGATTTTATCACATGAAGTTCTGGCGGTGTGGATTAATGAAAGCACCAATGACAATTTCAACAAATATTTTCTTGACTGTGCATTCAAGTGAAATTTATATTCTCAAATAATTTGCATAGGTCACGTGACGATTAGGTCAGTCTCTCTTGATCGATACAAGAACCCCGGCATTTTCTAATTAACATTATGCGATTATAACTTCAATTTAAAAATGTATTCTACGTTTTTTCATAAATCTGATAACTGACAGACGGGTAAATTCAAGGAACAGACTATGATTAATTTAAAGACAGTGCATTTGGTTAAAGCCAGGCAGGGTTATTTTACCATGGTTTGTTATCTCTTCTTCGGGACCTCTATTCATTATTTTAGCAATCCTCTTCTCTTGAACCATGGGATGCCACAGATAGCCCGTTGGTGCATTGATTAATACATTGGAATAGTAATGAAGAAGACGTGTTTTTGGAGTAACAAAACCATACACATTCACTTGGTCGCATATTTGCTGCATCAGTATAATACCTGTGATAGAAGACATCATCGTAAAAGGTCAATGGTTGTGACGTCGTTTGATGAACGTAAAACTTTTAATTCTACTATTCAGTCTGGACCATAATCGGCGACAATCTAGCATTGTCAGACATGAGGCGGAGATTAATTCCTCGAAAACTGGTTCCGTTGTAGAGCTGATTTGCAATTAAAAATTTAAATGTGATTATGACATTCTCCAGCAAAGGCTAACTGACCGAGTTTTCGAAAAAAAAACTATCTCCACACTCCTGAAACATTAAATACCTGTGCTTACACCACGACGTCACAATATTGTGCGGTAATTAAATCTGAAAGAATAACTATAAGGCCTGAACATCCACAGGGATTTATAGAAATCCCAGAGCAAATTACCCACAATTCTCTATGCTATTTACTATCATCGGAATCTAGTACTAAATCGGGTGATAAGAGTGTTTGAATTAGGGGAATACAAGTACTCGCCCTCATCACATAGTAGCTAACGTGTATTTCTTTGTTTCACCCATCCAAGGACGCAACTATGTGTTATCCTTTAGCTAGAAATTGATATTAACATTTTAAATTTGTTCTCTTCTATCAAATCTTTTACCTATTTCTTTGAGCGAAGATTCTAATTTCTGTTTAGTGTGCTTCCCTGTTTCGATTTTGAGGTCGTGGTTACTTAAACGGAACCGAGAGATGGACTCTCGTAGATCAATATTTGTTAGCATTGTTAAATAGTTTTCCATTTCAAAAACTTTCTTGAATTCTCTGTATGTCAGTTTCCTGGTTTGTTATTTTTGGTGTAATCTGAATTTAATGCTTTGTTCCAACGAGTGATGAATATTTTTTTCTACATTTTCTTTTTAATTAACGTTGTTTGGTGTTTTTAATTGTGATATATATTTCGATTAATTGCGTTAATTAATCTTGCATGTCTTGTTGGAAAGTTTTTACGCAATATCATTTACTATTTAGGTGTTTTTAATAACGCTGCTTCATTCACAAGTTCGTTTAGTGTGTTCTTTACTCGGTTATAGTATGTAATCATTAGTCTTTTGATAAAAATCATCTATTGGAAATTAAGCCAATTCTCCATATATTCTTACTATGGAACATTTTTCCACACGCCTGATGAACATCTTCTACGTCAGATTTGTAAGAGCTGTCGTCTCCTCAAATGTATTGTATACTAGTATTGATGCAATTCGTGTATCGAAAAAGGACAACATAGTTTTTAAATGTAGATTAGATTTATCGCCAACTTTTTGCTCTTTTCTTTTTTAAGAATGTATCGCTTCCTTGAACTCGCCATTGATGCTGAACCTATATTTTAATAATTTCAGAAACATGCCTTCGTGCCAGACAGGAGGAACTGATATGACTGCTTTGGAAGAAGGTGCGTGGTGATACGTTTTGTTTTAAGTATGCCGATCGCGCCATAGGTGGATCACGTTGGCTGCCCATGTGGGCTTACCCAACCCTGAAATTGGTCCCAAGTGGCCCGTGATTACATATGCTAGTGCTAACTGTTTTGTTATACACAAGAAAAGTTGCATAACACACTTATACAGCAATGTTCAGCCAGATATATTATATAAATTTAAATAGCAGCAGGTACTGAAATGGATCATGTACGTTTCGAAAGAAATATCATGGTGGGATCCGCCCATTTCTTTGAAAGGTGAAATTTTAAAAATACCAGTAAAAATCAACAAATCCTAAATCTGTAGCTTAAATATTATTACAAGGTCCTGAACTGTTAGTGAAAACAGCGACCCTCGGAGATTTTAAGCCAAAATCTCGTCGACGGTGGTTAATGGCTTCTCTTTGACATATTTTATATGCTAGAATATATGTAAAAAAGGCGCAGGCCTAGGCTCTTGTGTAACTTATATTGCTGGTAATTACAGCTGGTGTGCAACGGGTAACCCAGCATAATGCATGCCAGTGTACATACCTGTGAAACCGGATGATGGGACGTGTTTATTAATGTTCTCTTCAGAATATTCCTGGAGTATATCCCAGATATTCCAATGCCAAGCTGGGTTGATTACGTACATTTTTTCCTCTGGTCTTGATATACGTCTTTCGATATATTTTTCATAGAATGCCGCACCGTTATGTTCGTACCACTAAAACCATTTAACATAAAACAATATTTAAATGTTAGTACACTCAATTAAAAAGCAAATGAATCTCATCTATAGTAAAAAACAACAACATAGAAATGAATACTATCCTGGAGGGAATGTTGGTATTTTGGAGTTTATTTCAATGGACAGTTTCAAACAAATAATCATATCAGTCACAACAGTTTCTAGTTCCCCGGAGTTATGTCATAGTTTTCATAACAGTTTTTTATTGCCCGAAGTTAAATCCGAGTTTCTCAAACTAAATAATACGAGACATAATTTGACAATTATAATTTTTTATAACTAATTTGGAACAATCTGTGTTAGTGAAAGTCATTTTCACGTAAAGGATTCCAGGAACGCGTTAACAACGCCCCGATGAGATACACAAAGACATACCTTGTCTGGAGTAAATGTATATGGAGCTTGGTACCATGCGACTAAGCTGACATTATTGAAAATATAGTTGGAATAAAAATCTGGAAGCAACATAATATCGAGATTAATCACTCTCATCGTAGTCTTGTTTCCCACGTCGCGCTCAAATCCCACGGTTGGAGCGTTATTAAACCTCATTACGGCCTCATGGGAATCTGCAAACAATGGGATACGTCATAAATACAGAGAGTACGTGTAGTTACGTCATAAATGCACGTGTAGTTAAAAGTGTAGATCCCTGATGTAGTTACCTGATGTGTGAATGTACATAGACGCATTACGTAAAATCCCCCGAATAACGATGACATGCATATTACTAGTATGCACAAAACATTCCTTTTACGTGACATTTTGAACTACTTACCGATTTCTTCCCCAAGTCCTGAATCTGTCATGAAACTCGAACTTGATACAATTGCACAAGTGTTGTACCTTTTTTCGTGTGCATTGAATATATTTTTCTTGGGAAAGTACTTTGACAGTCCAAGATCTTGATAAGGCCGTGTAGACTTATCCAGGACTGAGGCGTTGGCTGAAAGTTTAAATTTGCATACCGTATTGACGCTGTTCAAATTCTGGAAATGTCGCTCCCCGGTGAAGTCTACTCTCAGTGGATTAAATAAGTTACTTAAGAATCCGCCATCGCTCTGTGTTCTACTTTGTATTCTCAGTATTTGCTGTATGTTGCCGCTGCTGGCTGCAAAGGGTTTGTCATATAATTGCCGAGTAACCACAACAAGTGCGATGGCCGCAATGCACATTCCCAGACATCTTATTGTCACCTTTTTTGTCATACCCATGATCACTTTCTGTTATCAGCGTCGAATATAGTGTTTATTCTTTTACATAGCTTTGACCTGTGTGATAAATAATATAATTTAGTAACGTAATTTAAAGATGCAAAGTAAAACATGTAATTCTTACGTAATATTTTTGTTTGATCCTGCGTGTTGGAGAATGAATACATTGGCTTAGAATCTACCACGTTGGATGTAGTAAGTAATCGTTCGATGAAACAATGACATTCTCGATGAATGGGCGCTCATTGTTTGGTGCGTTCAGCAACAATCTGCGCGCATGCGTAGATATTTTTCAATCTTCATAAAACGAGTACTATACAGTGTAATCGTACCAGACAACACTCGTTTTAGTTTGCGATCAATGTTAATACATTCGGACATCAACATTTTATTTCAAACAATATTTTAAACAGTATATCTCGAAGCGGGTAGGAAAATGATCATTTGCGGGGATTGTCCAAGCCATCACGAATCAGATTTATTTATTTATTTATTTATGACGCAGAAACCATATTATTTTCATGCATTACTCTGGTAACAATATTATTAATTGCGCAAAATAACTGCTCAGTGTGTGATTTCTGGTAACAATATTATTAATTGCGAAAAATAACTGTTCAGTGTGTGATTTCTGGTAGCAATATTATTAATTGCGCAAAGTAACTGCTCAGTGTGTAATTTCTGGTAAAACATTAATTGCGCAAAGCATGGACGTACATTCATGCGTAAAGTAACTGCTCAGTGTGCGATTTCTGGTTCCAGTATTGCTATTGCTAGTACAAAGTAGCAACACCCCTTGTCTGATTTTGAATTATGTGCTACCCTGCGTTTGTCTTTAGAAAGATGGCTGCATTTTGAATATTTTTAACAGAACATACTGCTTAGTATATAAAAGTATCATTCAATATGTGAAACATTAAAATACCTAAACTTATCACGACACTTGTCCCCTCGTGAACAAGATGGCAGTTCGGTTAGCACACGATTCGATTCAAAGTGGAAAGGCTAATTCAATGTTCATGAAAATCCTGTTTCTTAGACAAGAATTGCCCGCATTTTTGATAAGCTGCTATATCAGTCTTTCTGAATATACAAATTTTACAAGTTTTATTTCCATTTACTATTATAGTTCGTTTAAAAAAGGGAGGTATAAACATATATACATATTGCGACTATAGATACATACACAGTCCCTCTATGACTGTGACACATACTAATACTTTAAATCCCGCGTTATACAAATCCCGGCAGGGGTCACCCTCTTACAAAAACACGAAGGTCACATTAAACTGATCCCACTCTCATCTCGCGGAATGATTGAAGGTCAGCACACCGCAAGCTGTTTCTGTGAAATGTACATCGCAATGAGCCTCAACATTTTCAGTGTTTTACACACAAAAAACGCATTCTCAACGTGCAGCGAGGTTTTACTGATTAATGGAGCGGGTAGTGAATACAGCGACACTCACGGCGTAATACAGAAACATAAAATATAAATTTACGCAGTAATGGCTGATGGGTCGAAGGCCGTGTTAATGTCATTGTTATGCTAAATGAGTACACGATGGTTAATGCAAGTACAACACAAGTCACTGCATCACGTTTCAGTATATATTATAACCGTAAAATAGCATATTTTGTTTAGCACATTACAAATTATTGTTACGTGTCTATATTCGCGTTTTGTACATGACGGAGACATGCCAGATACGCATATACGCGAACGCAATATCAACTACGTACAAGTAAACATGTCAACATCAGCAGAATTTTCAGAGAAATGTAACAGTTTCGCAATGATAATGCCCGTGTGACATCAAGTCACATAATATATTAAATAATAGATCGAAAATCAATCGTTGAAAGAGCATCCTATATAATTTGTGGTTAAGCTGCATATTTATAACCGCCAACAGTAGATTGAAATACCGAGACAATTGCTGGTAGCTATGCCAAATGTTCCACCCCCCCCCCCCCCGACAGTAAAAATACTCGTCTATGAAAACACAACCGCGTCACAACTGCACACAAAGCAATATACTTTCCCCTTCGGATAATGGTACCGCCTAAACATTGAATACTGATTTCTGAACCAATTCATTATAAATTGATGGGTTTAGAAATAATATTCCACTGGATGCAGGCTCAACGCAGGCACATTGCACGTCACAGAGCAACTCTAAATCATTATATTCCTACATAATCTATACACATGATCAAATGATACATGTATTTAAAGCTAATTTTATTGAAATATACGCATGTGATAGCGTTTATAGGTACAACATACGCGTGGCTCAGTCTTATTAGTGCATTGTTTACATATTTATGTAAAAGCGTGTAGGAATATAGATTTATTATACAGGAATATCAGATAGCTCTATGGAAGTGGAAGAGGCCACAGGTAATTATAACAGTTGGTGGCGCCCAAAACGATTGGCGCATCGCCAGAGACCTCGTATTATTAATTGTAATGTTTAGACATAATACATTTAGAAACAAATAATACTTATTATTATTTAACCTTTGGCGCACACGCTCATGTCATGTGACCTTATTACACTTGTGAATTTTCATTTATAAAGCTCCTATAAAACGAAAATGTTGAACGCTTTGAAATCTATGTTTTTTGGTCGATGTACTCAGTAAATAAGCTATGGTTGTGGTGGCAATTTCCACCTTCTATCCTATATCAGTGTCGTTACATACTACACAACGATTACCATGACCATCCAAACTGACTATATTGATGATATATTGTAGACAAGCATACATTATGGCGTCACAATTTCCTTGTCAAGGTCACGTTGGCGACTGTGAAATTAAGTGAGTTGTATAGTTTAAAGAACTGAATTATTAATCATTAATTATTAAATCGCAAAAGATGATAATTAATGTATGTCATATGTATACGCTATATAGATAGGATTCTATCCCAGGATGCAATGCATACTAAATGTAGCACGCTGGGTGATTCAATCGTCTGTCGTTAGAACTACGCATGGGCGTTAGATTAGGTTCTTGCAACACACATGTTCACATAGCAGCCATATTTAGCGGCGCGCTTCCACAAGCACGCTACAACATATGGTCGTTTGAAAAAGGCACTAGCAAGCGCAGTTATGATGGCAGTGTCCTTATTACTATAGTTGAAAAATCAACATTACGTAAGACTTCAAAATTCAAGTGTGCCGTGGTACACTCATAATGAAAATAAGAAGAATGGTGACGTAAAATGATGAAGTTAGGTCAGGAGCAAAATCACCCAAAATGCCAAACGGCAATGTCGGGAACGAGCCGATCAATACATGGTCAGATATTTCTCGCTCAACTTATCCACCACGTGACCAATAAATGGTTAATTCTAATGTAGATGTATAAATCGCAAGTTCGTTGGGATGGCAATAATGTGCAACTATCTTAGCAGTACAGACGACCACTACTATCAAGTGTGTGACACATCAATAGTAATTATTCGCCGTTTAAGAAGTCTGAGTAGCTGACATCTATATACTAGTAATTCCAGATGCACTCGACGGCTGATATTGTACTCGCATCAAATTATGTTTACAAATTTACAGTCGCATCAAACGATAGTTTCATTGCGTAGAGTAGCATAGAAATCGACATTCACATCAAACGACAGTTTCATTATGTAGAGTAGCATAGAAATTTACAGTCGCACCAAACGATAGTTTCATTACGTAGAGTAGCATAGAAATTTACAGTCGCATCAAACGATAGTTTCATTGCGTAGAGTAGCATAGAAATCGACAGTCACATCAAACGACAGTTTCATTACCTAGAGTAGCATAACAACTGACAGTCACATCAAACGACAGTTCCATTATGTAGAGTAGCATAGAAATTTACAGTCGCACCAAACGATAGTTTCATTACGTAGAGTAGCATAGAAATTTACAGTCGCATCAAACGATAGTTTCATTGCGTAGAGTAGCATAGAAATCGACAGTCACATCAAACGACAGTTTCATTACCTAGAGTAGCATAACAACTGACAGTCACATCAAACGACAGTTTCATTACCTAGAGTAGCATAACAACTGACAGTCACATCAAACGACAGTTCCATTATGTAGAGTAGCATAGAAATTTACAGTCGCACCAAACGATAGTTTCATTACGTAGAGTAGCATAGAAATTTACAGTCTCATCAAACGATAGTTTCATTGCGTAGAGTAGCATAGAAATTTACAGTCGCATCAAACGATAGTTTCATTGCGTAGAGTAGCATAGCAATTTGCAGTCGCATCAAACGATAGTTTCATTGCGTAGAGTAGCATAGAAAATGACAATCGCATCAAACGATAGTTTCATTACGTAGAGTAGCATAGAAATTTACAAGTCGCATCAAACGACAGTTTCATTAGCGTAGAGTAGCATAGAAATTTACAGTCGCACCAAACGATAGTTTCATTACGTAGAGTAGCATAGAAATTTACAGTCGCATCAAACGATAGTTTCATTGCGTAGAGTAGCATAGAAATTGACAGTCACATCAAACGACAGTTTCATTACCTAGAGCAGCATAACAACTGACAGTCACATCAAACGACAGTTCCATTATGTAGAGTAGCATAGAAATTTACAGTCGCACCAAACGATAGTTTCATTACGTAGAGTAGCATAGAAATTTACAGTCTCATCAAACGATAGTTTCATTGCGTAGAGTAGCATAGAATCTGACAGTCGCATCAAACGATAGTTTCATTACGTAGAGTAGCATAGAAATTTACAGTCGCATCAAACGATAGTTTCATTGCGTAGAGTAGCATAGAAATTTACAGTCGCATCAAACGATACTTTCATTGCGTAGAGTAGCATAGGAATTGACAGTCGCATCAAACGATAGTTTCATTGCGTAGAGTAGCATAGAAATTTACAGTCGCATCAAACGATAGTTTCATTGCGTAGAGTAGCATAGAAAATGACAATGGTATCAAACGATAGTTTCATTACATAGAGTAGCATAGAAATTTACAGTCGCATCAAACGATAGTTTCATTACGTAGAGTAGCATAGAAATTTACAGTCGCATCAAACGATAGTTTCATTGCGTAGAGTAGCATAGAAATTGACAGTCACATCAAACGACAGTTTCATTACCTAGAGTAGCATAACAACTGACAGTCACATCAAACGACAGTTCCATTATGTAGAGTAGCATAGAAATTTACAGTCTCATCAAACGATAGTTTCATTGCGTAGAGTAGCATAGAATCTGACAGTCGCATCAAACGATAGTTTTATTACGTAGAGTAGCATATAAATTTACAGTCGCATCACACGACAGTTTCATTGCGTAGAGTAGCATAGAAATTTACAGTCGCATCAAACGATAGTTTCATTGCGTAGAGTAGCAAAGAAATTTACAGTCGCATCAAACGATACTTTCATTGCGTAGAGTAGCATAGGAATTGACAGTCGCATCAAACGATAGTTTCATTGCATAGAGTAGCATAGGAATTGACAGTCGCATCAAACGATAGTTTCATTGCGTAGAGTAGCATAGAAATTTACAGTCACATCAAACAATAGTTTCATTGCGTAGAGTAGCATAGAAATTTACAGTCGCATCAAACGATAGTTTCATTACCTAGAGTAGCATAGAAATTTACAGTCGCATCAAACGATAGTTTCATTACGTAGAGTAGCATAGAAATTTACAGTCGCATCAAACAATAGTTTCATTACGTAGAGTAGCATAGAAATTTACAGTCGCATCAAACGACAGTTTCATTACGTAGAGTAGCATAGAAATTTACAGTCGCACCAAACGATAGTTTCATTACGTGGAGTAGCATAGAAATTTACAGTCTCATCAAACGATAGTTTCATTACGTAGAGTAGCATATAAATTTACAGTCGCATCAAACGATAGTTTCATTGCGTAGAGTAGCATAGGAATTGACAGTCGCATCAAACGATAGTTTCATTACGTAGAGTAGCATAGAAATTTACAGTCGCATCAAACGATAGTTTCATTACGTAGAGTAGCATAGAAATTTACAGTCGCATCAAACGACAGTTTTATTAAGTAGAGTAGCATAGACATTTACAGTCGCATCAAACGATAGTTTCATTACGTAGAGTAGCATAGAAATTTACAGTCGCATCAAACGACAGTTTTATTAAGTAGAGTAGCATAGAAATTTACAGTCGCATCAAACGATAGTTTCATTGCGTAGAGTAGCATAGAAATTGACAGTCGCATCAAACGACAGTTTCATCACGTAGAGTAGCACGTTAATTTAGTGCATTTCGGGTGATTAGTCATTTTTTTATTGTGTATATTGTATGGGTTTGAATAATACGTCTTCAATCAATTCAAAACAATGTTAGTGTGTGTTCTTTATCAGTTTCATGTCGAACCATTATTACGATTATTCTATTTCTGTCAATATTAGGAAGAATGCACAAATCATATGTATTGATAAATATGCATAGTTGAAATCAAGATGACAATAATAAATCGTTTACGGTCCAGCCTCGTTTAGTTATGCTCAGATATCAATAAAAAGGTTAATATCTAAGAGTTATCAGAGTTTGATCCTTTCGCTACGCATGCGCCCAGCAGTCACCAGTAGTGTCGGGCCAGTCATTTCATATTGTCTTGAATTTCTGCGGTGTTTTATGAACTCAATTACCAAGTTTATAAGGCATATTTAAATAGCCCGGAAATTGAAGTCCCCAGTGCTATTATGATAATAATTTACGTTACTCCATTCTGGATACGAATAATTAATTTTACATTAATTACAATGTATAATACATCAGCAAGTAAATCACTTTCTGTTCAGTGGTATAGTGCTCAAGACGCAATGGACACATTCCTTCGAATTGTTCGCTTATGGTAAATTCTTACTCGTAATTCTCGAAAAAAATAGACAAAGACTGCTTGGGAATATTTGATGGGTAATCCATTCGAAAACAGGGGAGCTGAAGGATTTTGAACAAAATGGCTAAATAGGAAAAAGTGCTCTTTCAACAGAAGTTAAAAAACATTAGCCATTGTGTTTCTTTCACTTAGAAATTATTTTATCGTTAATTTTGCTGAAGGTATGAGTCGGTGAATTTAAAAATGCAGTGGAAATACTTTTTTTTTCCTATTTTAAATTTAACTCGTAAAAAAATCAGTGAAAATAAACTTCATTAGTACAAAACAGCCAAAATGTCGTTTCAACGAAAATTAATTTCAGCCAAAAATAAAGTATTATACAGTAAATTAATTTATGGTGCAGCTAACAGTAAACAACATTCTGTGGTACAAAATTATATTTTTGAAACAAAAATGGTAAGGAACGAAGCATTTGATTTTTAACAGAATAATAAACCAATCATGATTAAAAAACGGTTCAAAAACTAACAATGTGATCGCAATTACTTGTATATTTATTTTGTAACATTGTCTCGTTAAATTGTTCAATACAACTCCATCTTTGTTCACACTAATACCCTATTTTGATTAAAACCTCGAGTCACACTACTTTTCCTAGTGTTGTTTATTTTAACTGCAGTATTTCTAACAAACCACAACTTCCCCGAAACAATCCTCGTCTTTCCAGGGATGTTTTGTAACTTTGACCCAATATTTACACTGTTTAGCAGTAATACTGTATAACTAAATGTTATAAGCCTAGTGTTATTCATCGAATAGTACACAAAGTACAGTCTCGTCAAATATTGAACCATTCTTGAACCCCGACTGCAATCCACTGCACTATTATTCTATATAATTACCCCTTGTGCTATCATTTCATGCATTGTCATAGTTTTAAACTATTTCAAAACCGAGTAGCACAGATATCTTTCCGAGGTTTAAGCTATTTAGTTCCTCTTTAAAGAAAGCCTATACAACGAGTCATCATTCATTTCGGACATCCATTATATTTACAACCGGCATGAACAACACTGTCTTTGTTGGAACGGGTGGTAACTGCCTGCTACTGTATTAGAGGGCAAACTGGCAAACCTGACATTGAACTATGTGCTCTTTAGGAAACACAACATTAAAACAAACAGATGGTTTTAAGAACATAAATTAATTACATTAGAATTACAAGTGTGTAATACTCGATGACCTAACTCTGTGCACAAGCTAGTGACGACATCACCGTGACGTCATGTACTGAGAGAACTCGTAACCAGTGACTCACCACTAGAACATTGTTGTAACAAAACCTGTGTCATGACAAAACACAAAAGGATTCATAACACACCTCGCCTTGTTGTTGACGCGTCAATTCATGCATATTCATTTTGATTACAAACTACAGTATTCGACTATCGCCCATTTGTTAGTTTACGCCGCACACCGTGCTCGTCTGTTGGACACTACGATTTTAAAAGCATACGGATTTCGACAATAGTGTCGAATACATTCCAGCAAGTGCATTCACACGTACGGAGAACTCAGGTAACGGATATGGGCATTCTGAATACTGAACATGATTGACAACTCACACGCTGTGCGCATGAATATCGGTAAAACATAGTTCTGGGTGACTGTAATGAGTATGATAAGAACACTGCCATTATTCCACGGGGAACACTGAAAATGTCCCACACACATAAAGTAGGAGATCCTGCGACCTTTCCCTCAATCGGCAAAAAAAGAAAATTCCGTGACGTAACGAGCCCTGTCACCTGCAGACAATGGTAGTCGTTTCCTGGCTTGGCGAAGGAAATATTGGAAATACAATTTAAATTTGACAAGTAATCAGTCAAGTATTTATCACTCTACAGTACGGATTTTATAAGGCGTGTATCTTCATTAAATATCGTCGTTTTCCATAATGGCGAAGAAGGTCGCTGTGATATTAACATATCAAACGACTACGGAGGCACGTTACAGCGTGTATGGGAAAGAGTGGAATAGTTAAAAGCAACGGCAATTAAAGCATTATGTGTATTTTGATATACCCTGCTCTCGGGGAAAGAAAGTATCATGACAATGGCACACCTTAAACGTTAATTTTGATAAAATTGGGCGGAACTTGTGGTGAAAACGCACTGTTTAGCGTGTCGATGTATCCATCGGCTTGTAAAGAAGGCTGGGTCACTCTCGCTGTTACCTGCATGTGTAGTAATAACTCGCGGGAATAGGCTATATCACGCACACTGTCGATTATTCTCTGCTGTTGAGAAAACAGATGACTACCTTTAGATTATCACAAGTTCTTACCTGACATTCTTTCGTGTAATATAGACAGTTATTTGAGTTAATAACAATCACCATAGCCCGACGTCGCGGACACTCCAGTCTCCATGCAGATGTTCGAGGTCGATATTGTGAGCATTCAATTGAATTCGGAACTATAACCGAATTGCTATACCATTGTTATAAAATAGGGGTGGTCAGCTTCAGCGGTGAGGGTGAAAACTGTAATTTGATGTTTAAAAACATGGCTTGATTGTGACAACTTGAGAATATATATAACTATGGTAAGATTGCCATGGCAATCACACGCGAATTTGATGATTTGTCTTATTTTCAGCGACGAGCTGAGAATATTTTATTGAGTTACTTTCCTTTTCAAATGGTAAATACAACTCCGATATACACCAATACAGTGTACATCACCAGTATACAGATCAATTTGTAAAACAAATTTTGGACATATGTCATCAACGTTTCAGGTTTTCTCTCAGTAAAATTTAACTGAATAAAATTACCTGAAAACAGTTCCCACAGGAATGTTAAATCATTATTTCATAAATATAAAAGTATTTATCAGTATTTCCTAATGATTATTGACAGCCCTAAGTATTCATATCATAACTACATATGAGTTATTTTTACTCTACATTACCAAACCAAATTGTGAGATATGTTGAGAATTTGTTACTATAGAAACCAGTGTTAAAACTCAAAAACCAATATTTTC